GGGAGCTGATTTCAGAGTTGGGGTGGAAAAGTGGACATTTTCCATTTTTGTACAGGGAAGTATTTCTTCAATATAGTTTGAGAAGTACTTGTTTATCCCACCTGTTCCACCGATGGTATCTTGTGCCAATAGAAGACGTGCATGCTCATCTACTGCTGAGAGCCTATTCAATCAAAGATAACAAGCTCCTCTTCGGACTTACTCAAGCAATTTTGTTTGAATCTGTGTCCTTTCATTTGATTGTTGTTTATTTTATTGTTATTATTGGTGTGATTTTGTAATGCACAGGACATGTTTTTTTTATGTTTTTGTTTATTGGGGAAAATGAAAAAGCAGTGCGGTATTGCCTCCGAAGGAAGAAAGATCCAATTCCATTGTTATGAATCGTCAAAAAAGCAAGATTTTCTGCCCTGCACTTGCTCTGCAGATCCTGGTTTATATGCGGGAAATGAACATAGTTTGAGGTCAACGTTGGCCTCAGCGAAAGTCTGCAAAGGGTTTCATCCTAATCTAATGGCATAACGAACAGGGTTAAACATCTGCCAAGCGAGAGAGAGGAGAGGATAGCAGAAGATGGGACAGGATAGGAGAGAAGTCAGAATGCTAGCCAGGCTCATTGATGTAGGCTGCCATCGCTGAAGTCTTTAGCCAAACATTGCTGGGCCAGATGGCCTATAGCCCAAGATTAAAGAATAGATTTGTCTCCAAAAAGCAATCTACAAGATGGCTATAATCCAGGCTTGACGATGGTGGGAGTGAAAACCGACGTCAGTGATGATGTCATAAGGAGGGTGACGCCGCACAGCAAAGAGCCTTCTGTAATATATTTTTAAATATACATGTACATAATGGGAAGTGGCTTCTTTCTAACTATTCTTATCATTTTGCATAAAAATCGAATGTTGAAGATGTTCGCACCTGTAGCTCAGTTGGTAGAGCATGGCGCTTGCAACGCCAGGGTTCTGGGTTCGTTTCCCACTGGGGGGCCAGTGTGAAAAAAGAATATGATGCACTCACTAACTGTGTGTGTAGGGCTGTACTTGTACATGGTGTTCAGGTCTTTTTAATTAGGGCTTGGCAGCACATCTGAGGGACACATTTGCTATATCGTCCCCTGCTCGGCCTGACACCAACTCAGTAACTTTCAGTAATGCTGAAAAAAGGAATGTTCATTATTTCCTTTTTAGCTGAAGTTTCAGTATTTCAGAAAGCACAGCTAAATCAGTCCTAATAGGATACGTCATTCGTTGCAATTTGGTTGTTGATATTATATTCATGCTACATTGAGCTCCAAAAGTATTGGGACAGTGACACATTTTATGTTGTTTTGGCTCTGTACACCAGCACTTCTTACCATGATTACGGATAGTCCTGAATGAATCGTTAATAATGATGAATGAGAAAGTTACAGACACACAAATATCATAATCCCCCCAGAATGCTAACCTCCCCTGTTATTGTCATGGTGAGAGGTTAGCATGTCTTGGGGGTATGATATTTGTGCGTCTGTAACTTACTCACTCATTATTCAGAATTAATTCTGGACTATCCATAATCATGGTAGCATCTACATTAATGTAGGAGTGTTTAGAAACATATTATATTCTTATTTACAATAAAAGTGACTCCAAAATGACACAATACATTATTTACCATTCATTTCAATTAGGCACAAAATAATCTGAAACCGCCAAAACAATCAGCAAATGCATCCAACAAGTTTGTAGAGTCACAAGCTTGATGTAATCATTGTGTGCTAGGAATATGGGACCAAATTGTAAACTTTTGACAATTTTAATACATATATAAGTGAATTTGGCCCAATACTTTTGGTCCCCTAAAATGGGGGGACTATGTACAAAATGTGCTGTAATTTCTAAACGGTTCACCCGGTATGGATGAAAATACCCTCAAATTAAAGCTGACAGTCTGCACTTTTACCTCATAGTCATTGTATCATTTCAAATCCAAAGTGCTGGAGTACAGAGCCAAAACAACAATAAATGTGTCACTGTCCCATATACTCACTGTATATTCTGAAATCACTGGTAGCTTTAGGTATTTTGAAATGAAGTGGTATGCTATTCTGAAGTGAAATGATCCCTCTCCATTGTTCAACTGCCTGCCCAACTCCTAATCTTGTCCATTGAATGAAAAGTTATTTTTTTGTTTTCTTAATTATGTTGCGCTGTTGTTGATGATGATAATGATGATGATGTTGATGATTTTGTATTGTATTTCACTTTGCCTCTATGGGTCAAAACTTTTTATGATGTGGTGAAACATTGAGGGGCAAATCCAAAATAATATATATATATATATATATTTTTTTTTTTTTTTTTTTTTTACTTCTACTTATGACAAATTTTCACTTAGTCATGTATTGATGTCAGTGGGACACTGAGTGAAAACATTACTTAGGTGGCAATTAGCATTCGCCCCTAACACTTCAATACTTGAAATTCTGTTTGAAGCTTCTGAGTCCTTTAGCTGTGGGCTTGTGATCTGTGACTGATAGGATGTCCATTGGCTGTTTAAAGAGTACAGTATGTTGGTAGTCTGCTAGAAGTATACGCCATCAGTGTTGTACGTTTTCTTTTCATTTACTGAGGTGTTTCAAATTGTACATTTCCTATTTTCTTTTGATGCATTTTGTTTTGTATAAGATTATTATGATTATTATTGTTATTATTTGTGTTTCTATTTGGTGTTATTACACCATTGATAATAACATCATGATAATGAATTGTAAGCTAAACAGGTGTTCTTGGAGGTATACAGTAATTATATCAGTTATTTTATTTCTGCTCTTTAAATTGACTTGAATATGATGTCGACATAGTAAAAAAAAATACTTGTTTCTTTGTTGGTTGCAATATGCCTGATTTGAGTAGTGGTATACTGACTGTTGCTGTGTTCGGATGAAGACTGTTTCCCCCTCTTGCACTGGCTTAGCCCAAACGCCTTCTGTCCAGGCATATAGCGCTGATGCAATGAGTTGGTCAGAAATTACAACAAAATGATTAAATATTTAATAGTTTAATAAAAATCTATGAAGGAAATATCCAATATTTCATAAGATCTCTGCTCATTCCTGTCTCTATGTAATGATAGTTTGTTATGTCAAGTGCCCACTTGAATGCTGTAATAATGTGACTTCCTGTTGCTGATGTCCGTAGACAGTTAGCGCAACCTTTACTTATAAGCAGGGAAATGTGAAGTGATTTTCTTCTGCAGGAAATGTGTTATTTCTTAGGTAAAAGCAAAAGACAGACTAATGCAACTTTTTTCATCGCTATAAACTATTTGCTTATGTCATATTTAGTTAGCTATACTTAGTTATACTCCTCTTTTGTGGTTATGCTCTTACATTTTACATTTGAGTCATTTAGCAGACACTCTTATCCAGAGTGACTCTTGTGTGCTGTAATGTGACTTGCCAATCAATGTCCATGCCTTTCATGAAACCATATATTTACCTTTCAGGAGGAAGAAATGCATTATTAAACTAAAGCACTTATATTTTATAACTTTGCATATCTATCTAACACAGGGTAATAAAATGCTTTCTAAAATAGCTTTTTATTGCATTCTGAAGTAGGGTGTTTTTCAGACTCATATCAATACTCACTACTGTAAAAAGATAACTCCTAACTGGAAAGGCCACTCCTTACTGTAGTAGGAAGGGTTCACTATTCCTTTGAAGCAGTTTACAACCTTGTTGTTAGTAACAATGGTTGTGTATTGGGAAAATCCTGACTGGTCAATGGTGTGTGCCCAGGTAAGATTCCATCACTCAACTTTTAAAATAGTATGCTAAAAACTTGAAACTCGAACAATCCGCTAACATTGACACAATGGGAAAATATAATTATTTATTATTGAAATGTTGAAATAGCATGGGCGACCGAGAAAAATACATTGGTACAATTTAAGGCCAAGTGGCAAACAATAATGCAGACACTAGGGAAGGGGGAGTGAGCATGTGGGTCTGGGCAGAGGAGATGTGGTCATTGTTTGTGTGTCTGTAAGTTGTTGTTCGTATGTATACGTTTGTTTTTGTAATGTTTAAAAAAAAAAGAACAAAAACATATTAGAAAAATACAATAAAAAGATTCTAACAGGAAGTGGGAAACAGCAGTCCATGAATCATTAGTTCCTACCAAGGCCACCCATCCATGTCTATGTAATGTTGGTCAATCCTGATTAGGGAGGTGCTGTACAAAGCTTTTCATAAACAAAGCTATGCAGTATTTTCCTAAACCTAGACCATGCCTGTATTGTTTTTCATTTATTGTAGTATTGTAAACTAAATATATATCCAAATATTACAATCAACTATACATTTATATACACTTACAATTTCAGCATTGCGTTTTGGCATAGAATTTTTTTCAAATCAGATAAGAAAGCTAACCTTGCACATTGATCTTAAACTTAACATTTTGAGTCGAGGTTCCTAAGTTATTCCGTTTCAGTGTCTGCTCTGACTTGAATACACAACAATAATACTTTGTGTGTTGTGAAAGCAATGTCGGACGTATTTGGTTTGAAAAAAAATCACCTAGCTGTCAGACTATACTGTTGCACTGTGGCCAACAAATCTGATAGTGTATATATTAATAGATTTCACCCAGATTGTGTCTGAATATTACAACGCATTTTATCCACATATTATATTGTTACAGCAAAATAACAATTTTAAGGATAATCTCAAACAATTTTAGTTAATCAAAGTGCAAGGATTGGAATTAATGTATGAATTTCAATAGGAATGTTATTTGTAACTTTCTTGTCAGAATAATGACGCTGAGCACGCCATTATCAATTGTTAAAACAATTGGGATGGAGTGTGCAGAGTCTCTCACCATTGAGTGCTATATTCAGTCTTCTTTGATTCAGTCGTGGGCCTTAACCACATGGCCTTGTACTTTTCAATGAGCACTCTGGGGATCTGTGGGCTTGTGAACCAGGTATCCGGCCTACTACATACATGTGTTTTAATTAAAGGCATCCTTTGTGAGACGGTGTATCCTGGCGAATGGGGTAGTGGCGGTGGTGGTGAAGCCGTGTACTGAGCCCACGGAGCGTGACATGCAGCGCATATTGCCCGTGGTGACAATGCACTGCAGGGGCCACAGCACCATGATCACCAGCAGCACCATCAACACGATGAAAAGCAGCAGCCACTTCCAGTTGTTCAGCCGCTCCAGGAAGCCCATGTGCTGGGGCCGCGTCTGAGCAGGGACCTCGTCTGCCTTGCTGGCCCCGATGTCGATGCAGATGCAGAAGGCCGAGGTGGAGCTGGATGTTCCGGGGTCGGCCTCCAGTGGCCGCTTGTAGCACAGCTTCTCCCCATCCAGCCACACAGGTTCCTCGTGCTGCTGGTGGCTGGGCAGTTTACACAGTACCTCCTGGCTGGTGGCCAGGGCAGGCGGACCCTCCTCGGTTAGGAGGGTAGGGTGGCGGCAGAATGGACAAGGGATCTTGCTGCTGCCGCTTCCTTCCTGCTCTCCTAGCGACATGGCCATGAGGCGCGATAGGCACTCAAGGCAGAAGGTGTGGGTGCACTCCAGCAGCTTGGGCGTCTTGAAGACATTGTCGTAGGTGTTGTAGCAGATGGAGCACTCGGGTTGGCTACCAAAAGCAACCATTTTGTTCAGGTCCACATTCTCTTCCTGGGGCATCACCTTGGTGTGCCACACCTGAGGGATCTGCGCCATCTTGAAGGGGTGTTCTGTATTATTTTCTCCCTTTCCTTGGTCTTTTGATTGGTACTCCCTCTTTTCCCCCTTACTCTTCTTTGTTTTTGGTGTGGATTATCTGAGAATGAATAAAAATCCAGATTATTTATATTTTAATGACGTGTTAAGATGGTGTCTGGCCCGTTATTTTACTAGAACTGTGTAAAATCTATTTTTAACATCACACAGTGTGTACATAATCCCAAATGGTTAACATGATTTCATTCAAACGCATTTTATAAAGTAGGTCATAAAGGTTTATGTCCCCATGCAGGCAGAGTTCCAATACCATTAGGTTATTCCCTTCAGAATATGATTACCTTCTGACCTAATGTAAGGAGATTCATATTACACTCAAAGTAGTCACAAATAATCCAGCATTTGGTGGAATTTAATGTGTATAAATTGAATGTATTTTTAAACATATTATATATATATATCAGTCCCAAGCCAAATCAGCCTGTCAGTCCATTTATGTCACTAATTTCATGTATCTGCTTGTCAAGCCCTCATATTTAGCCTCACATTGAAGTGCTTTACTGTTTTCCTTTTAGCACAACCAGGGCTACAAGTAGAATGAAAAACTTTTTGACATAAAATGTTACATTCATGAGTTTAATTGAATACTATGACTACAAGAATGAGGTCCGCCAAACAAAAACCTGATTTAAAAAAACATTTACAGTGGGGAGAACAAGTATTTGATACACTGCCGATTTTGCAGGTTTTCCTACTTACAAAGCATGTAGAGGTCTGTAATTTTTATCATAGGTACACTTCAACTGTGAGAGACGGAATCTAAAACAAACATCCAGAAAATCACATTGTATGATTTTTAAGTAATTAATTTCAATTTTTTTGCATGACATAAGTATTTGATCACCTACCAACCAGTAAGAATTCCGGCTCTCACAGACCTGTTAGTTTTTCTTTAAGAAGCCCTCCTGTTCTCCACTCATTACCTGTATTAACTGCACCTGTTTGAACTCGTTACCTGTATAAAAGACACCTGTCCACACACTCAATCAAACAGACTCCAACCTCTCCACAATGGCCAAGACCAGAGAGCTGTGTAAGGACATCAGGGATAAAATTGTAGACCTGCACAAGGCTGGGATTGGCTACAGGACAATAGGCAAGCAGCTTGGTGAGAAGGCAACAACTGTTGGCTCAATTATTAGAAAATGGAAGAAGTTCAAGATGACAGTCAATCACCCTCGGTCTGGGGCTCCATGCAAGATCTCACCTCGTGGGGCATCAATGATCATGAGGAAGGTGAGGGATCAGCCCAGAACTACACGGCAGGACCTGGTCAATGACCTGAAGAGAGCTGGGACCACAGTCTCAAAGTAAACCATTAGTAACACACTACGCCGTCATGGATTAAAATACTGCAGCGCACGCAAGGTCCCCCTGCTCAAGCCAGCGCATGTCCAGGCCCATCTGAAGTTTGCCAATGACCATCTGGATGATCCAGAGGAGGAATGGGAGAAGGTCATGTGGTCTGATGAGACAAAAATAGAGCTTTTTGGTCTAAACTCCACTCGCCGTGTTTGGAGGAAGAACAAGGAGGAGTACAACCCCAAGAACACCATCCCAACCGTGAAGCATGGAGGTGGAAACATCATTCTTTGGGGATGCTTTTCTGCAAAGGGGACAGGACGACTGCACCGTATTGAGGGGCTGATGGATGGGGCCATGTATCGCGTGATCTTGGCCAACAACCTCCTTCCCTCAGTAAGAGCATTGAAGATGGGTCGTGGCTGGGTCTTCCAGCATGACAACGACCCGAAACACACAGCCAGGGCAACTAAGGAGTGGCTCCGTAAGAAGCATCTCAAGGTCCTGGAGTGGCCTAGCCAGTCTCCAGACCTGAACCCAATAGAACATCTTTGGAGGGAGCTGAAAGTCCGTATTGCCCAGCGACAGCCCCGAAACCTGAAGGATCTGGAGAAGGTCTGTATGGAGGAGTGGGCCAAAATCCCTGCTGCAGTGTGTGCAAACCTGGTCAAGACCTACAGGAAACGTATGATCTCTGTAATTGCAAACAAAGTTTCTGAACCAAATATGAAGTTCTGCTTTTCTGATGTATCAAATACTTATGTCATGCAATAAAATGCAAATGAATTACTTAAAAATCATACAATGTGATTATCTGGATTTTTGTTTTAGATTCCATCTCTCACAGTTGAAGTGGACCTATGATAAAAATTACAGACCTCTACATGCTTTGTAAGTAGGAAAACCTGCAAAATCGGCAGTGTATCAAATACTTGTTCTCCCCACTGTATATGAATAATGTAAGTGCAGAAAATGTTGGCTCAGTGGGATATGAACATTCAAATAGTATGTGACAACTGTGTTCAATTTGGAGTTTGTGACAACAACTATATGACTCTATTACGGTATAATAGACACTATTTCCTGGGCAGAAATGTATGAAATGGACTGTTATATCCACAAAACCTCACCCATTGTCTTATACCCATGTCTGTGATCTGTCTGTAAGTGTTTGAAGTCTGTTTGGGAGCTATAAAAAGCTCAGGAAAACATCCGGAATTAAAGCTGCAAGCAGCATTGACGGGATTACGCTGTGTGCCCACTGTGCCACCATCAGGACAAATTGGACACATTGCCCTAGGACGAGTTACTTCTGTACTATTTACCACGCTTGCCAAATATCAGAACTCAAAATCAAACTGATCATGCAATATTATTTGCTTTTGATGTATTTTGGACAATTTTCAATGATGTTGACTACTTTAAACGTCCAGAACCGCAGGACCGATCGGAACCAAAATGTTTTGTTTTCTGTTTTCTTAATTATGTTGCGCTGTTGTTGATGATGATAATGATGATGATGTTGATGATGGTTTTGTATTGTATTTCACTTTGCCTCTATGGGTCAAAACGTTTTATGATGTGGTGAAACATTGAGGGGCAAATCCTTAACTTCTACTTATGACAAATGTTCACTTAGTCATGTATTGATGTCAGTGGGACACTGAGTGAAAACATTACTTAGGTGGCAATTAGCATTCGCCCCTAACACTTCAATACTTGAAATTCTGTTTGAAGCTTCTGAGTCCTTTAGCTGTGGGCTTGTGATCTGTGACTGATAGGATGTCCATTGGCTGTTTAAAGAGTACAGTATGTTGGTAGTCTGCTAGAAGTATACGCCATCAGTGTTGTAAGTTTTCTTTTCATTTACTGAGGTGTTTCAAATTGTACATTTCCTATTTTCTTTTGATGCATTTTGTTTTGTATAAGATTATTATGATTATTATTGTTATTATTATTTGTGTTTCTATTTGGTGTTATTACACCATTGATAATAACATCATGATAATGATTTGTAAGCTAAACAGGTGTTCTTGGAGGTATACAGTAATTATATCAGTTATTTTATTTCTGCTCTTTAAATTGACTTGAATATGATGTCGACATAGTAAAAAAAAATACTTGTTTCTTTGTTGGTTGCAATATGCCTGATTTGAGTAGTGGTATACTGACTGTTGCTGTGTTCGGATGAAGACTGTTTCCCCCTCTTGCACTGGCTTAGCCCAAACGCCTTCTGTCCAGGCATATAGCGCTGATGCAATGAGTTGGTCAGAAATTACAACAAAATGATTAAATATTTAATAGTTTAATAAAAATCTATGAAGGAAATATCCAATATTTCATAAGATCTCTGCTCATTCCTGTCTCTATGTAATGATAGTTTGTTATGTCAAGTGCCCACTTGAATGCTGTAATAATGTGACTTCCTGTTGCTGATGTCCGTGGACAGTTAGCGCAACCTTTACTTATAAGCAGGGAAATGTGAAGTGATTTTCTTCTGCAGGAAATGTGTTATTTCTTAGGTAAAAGCTAAAGACCGACTAATGCAACTTTTTTAATCGCTATAAACTATTTGCTTATGTCATATTTAGTTAGCTATACTTAGTTATACTCCTCTTTTGTGGTTATGCTCTTACATTTAACATTTTAGTCATTTAGCAGACGCTCTTATCCAGAGTGACTCTTGTGTGCTGTAATGTGACTTGCCAATCAATGTCCATGCCTTTCATGAGACCATATATTTTCCTTTCAGGAGGAAGAAATGCATTATTTCAGGAGGAAATAAACTAAAGCACTTATATCTTATAACTTTGCATATCTATCTAACACAGGGTAATAAAATGCTTTCTAAAATAGCTTTTTATTGCATTCTGAAGTAGGGTGTTTTTCAGACTCATATCAATACTCACTACTGTAAAAAGATAACTCCTAACTGGAAAGGCCACTCCTTACTGTAGTAGGAAGGGTTCACTATTCCTTTGAAGCAGTTTACAACCTTGTTGTTAGTAACAATGGTTGTGTATTGGAAAAATCCTGACTGGTCAATGGTGTGTGCCCAGATAAGATTCTAGCAGTAATCACTCATCTTAAAAAAACGTATGCTAAAAACTTGAAACTCAAACAATCCGCTAACATTGACACAATGGGAAAATATAATTATTTATTATTGAAATGTTGAAATAGCATGGGCGACCGAGAAAAATACATTGGTACAATTTAAGGCCAAGTGGCAAACAATAATGTAGACACTAGGGAAGGGGGAGTGAGCATGCGGGGCAGAGGAGATGTAGTCATTGTTTGTGTGTCTGTAAGTTGTTGTTCGTATGTATACGTTTGTTTTTGTAATGTTAAAAAATAAAGAACAAAAAAATATTATTAGAATAATACAATAAAAATATTCTAACAGGAAGTGGGAAACAGCAGTCCATGAATCATTAGTTCCTACCAAGGCCACCCATCCATGTCTATGTAATGTTGGTCAATCCTGATTAGAGAGGTGCTGTACAAAGCTTTTCATAAACAAAGCTATGCAGTATTTTCCTAAACCTAGACCATGCCTGTATTGTTTTTCATTTATTGTAGTATTGTAAACTAAATATATATCCAAATATTACAATCAACTATACATTTATATACACTTACAATTTCAGCATTGCGTTTTGGCATAGAATTATTTTCAAATCAGATAAGAAAGCTAACCTTGCACATTGTTCTTAAACTTAACATTTTGAGTCGAGGTTCCTAAGTTATTGAGTTTCAGTGTCTGCTCTGACTTGAATACACAACAATAATACTTTGTGTGTTGTGAAAGCAATGTCGGACGAATTTGGTTTGAAAAAAAATCACCTAGCTGTCAGACTATACTGTTGCACTGTGGCCAACAAATCTGATACTTTAGATATTAATAGATTTCACCCAGATTGTGTCTGAATATTACAATGCATTTTATCCACATATTATATTGTTACAGCAAAATAACAATTTTAAGGAAAATCTCAAACAATATTAGTTAATCAAAGTGCAAGGATTGGAATTAATGTATGAATTTCAATAGGAATGTTATTTGTAACTGATGCTGAGCACGCCATTATCAATTGTTAAAACGATTGGATGGAGTGTGCAGAGTCTCTCACCATCTAGTGCTATATTCAGTCTTCTTTGATTCAGTCGTGGGCCTTAACCACATGGCCTTGTGCATTTTCAGGTATCCGGCCTACTACATACATGTGTTTTAATTAAAGGCACCCTTTGTGAGACGGTGTATCCTGGCGAATGGGGTAGTGGCGGTGGTGGTGAAGCCGTGTACTGAGCCCACGGAGCGTGGCATGCAGCGCAAATTGCCCGTGGTGAAAATGCACTGCAGGGGCCACAGCACCATGACCACCAGCAGCACCATCAACACGATGAAAAGCAGCAGCCGCTTCCAGTTGTTCATCCGCTCCAGGAAGCCCATGTGCTGGGGCCGCGTCTGAGCAGGGACCTCGTCTGCCTTGCTGGCCCCGATGTCGATGCAGATGCAGAAGGCCGAGGTGGAGCTGGATGTTCCGGGGTCGGCCTCCAGTGGCCGCTTGTAGCACAGCTTCTCCCCATCCAGCCACACAGGTTCCTCGTGCTGCTGGTGGCTGGGCAGTTTACACAGTACCTCCTGGCTGGTGGCCAGGGCAGGCGGACCCTCCTCGGTTAGGAGGGTAGGGTGGCGGCAGAATGGACAAGGGATCTTGCTGCTGCCGCTTCCTTCCTGCTCTCCTAGCGAAATGGCCATGAGGCGCGATAGGCACTCAAGGCAGAAGGTGTGGGTGCACTCCAGCAGCTTGGGCGTCTTGAAGACATTGTCGTAGGTGTTGTAGCAGATGGAGCACTCGGGTTGGCTACCAAAAGCAACCATTTTGTTCAGGTCCACATTCTCTTCCTGGGGCATCACCTTGGTGTGCCACACCTGAGGGATCTGCGCCATCTTGAAGGGGTGTTCTGTATTATTTTCTCCCTTTCTTTGGTCTTTTGATTGGTACTCCCTCTTTTCCCCCTTACTCTTCTTTGTTTTTGGTGTGGATTATCTGAGAATGAATGAAAATCCAGATTATTTATATTTTAATGACGTGTTAAGATGGTGTCTGGCCCGTTATTTTACTAGAACTGTGTAAAATCTATTTTTAACATCACACAGTGTGTACATAATCCCAAATGGTTAACATGATTTCATTCAAGAGCATTTTATAAAGTAGGTCATAAAGGTTTATGTCCCCATGCAGGCAGAGTTCCAATACCATTAGGTTATTCCCTTCAGAATATGATTACCTTCTGACCTAATGTAAGGAGATTCATATTACACTCAAAGTAGTCACAAATAATCCAGCATTTGGTGGAATGTAATGTGTATAAATTGAATGTATTTTTAAACATATTATATATATATCAGTCCCAAGCCAAATCAGCCTATCAGTCCGTTTATGTCACTAATTTCATGTATCTGCTTGTCAAGCCCTCATATTTAGCCTCACATTGAAGTGCTTTACTGTTTTCCTGATAGCATAACCAGGGCTACAAGTAGAATGAAAAACTTTTTGACATAAAAAGTTACATTCATGAGTTTAGTTGAATACTATGACTACAAGAATGAGGTCCGCCAAACAAAAACCTGATTTAAAAAAACATTTATATGAATAATGTAAGTACAGAAAATGTTGGCTCAGTGGGATATGAACATTCAAATAGTATGTGACAACTGTGTTCAATTTGGAGTTTGTGACAGCAACTATATGACTCTATTACGGTATAATAGACACTATTTCCTGGGCAGAAATGTATGAAATTGACTGTTATATCCACAAAACCTCACCCATTGTCTTATACCCATGTCTGTGATCTGTCTGTAAGTGTTTGAAGTCTGTTTGGGAGCTATAAAAAGCTCAGGAAAACATCCGGAATTAACGGGGTTACGCTGTGTGCCCACTGTGCCACCATCAGGACAAATTGGACACATTGCCCTAGGACGAGTTACTTCTGTACTATTTACCACGCTTGCCAAATATCAGAACTCAAAATCAAACTGATCATGCAATATTATTTGCTTTTGATGTATTTTGGACCATTTTCAATGATGTTGACTACTTTAAACGTCTTCTTTTCCAGAACCGCAGGACCGATCGGAACCACATTTTCCAAAACTCTAGCTTAAACAATATGGCCGCAATGAGCAAATGAGCTTGCATTAATGTTTTTTCCTGTCTAACAGTGCCACAATGTGGCCAAACTCAACCATATTTTACAGGTTAGCTAGACTCATATCCTTGAGCATGTGTGGTAAATTTGAGTCAAACCGATCAAGAGATGTACCCGTTATAGTGCCAACGTGTAGTCGATATGAATGTGCTTGCATATGTTGAGTCTTCACAGTGTTTGGAACATGTGTACCAAGTTTCGTTACATTACGAATATCCGTGACTGATATATATATGCATTTATGTGCAAACCATGCCCACGTAAATGGTTATTGGTCAGTTTGACATACTATGTTGTTTGACGTTCTAGCCTGGATTATAGTGTGTTTACAGACCTTTGTCCATAGATGACATATATCAAGTTTTGCCAAGGTCGCCATTCGGTGTCAGAGGAGTAGCGTGTTTTTCACCAAATTCAAAATGGTGGAAAATCCATCATAGCGGACTTTATGGGTTCTTGAGGCAAATTAGTTTCTTGGGAGGAGAGGGACCTATGGACTAAACTTCATGACTCTAGGTTACACGGGTGCGGGTGCTGACCTTTCAAAGTTAGCATTTTCAGTTGCTTGTTATTGGCATGGTATTGAACTTGGGCCTTTACCATGTTGCTAAGTTGCACAATCCTGGGCCTTTTCATCTCACAGGAGTTTACATTTTTTTCACCAAAAAAGCAGATAAAGGAACATAATAATAATAACAATAATGAACTTGAACAAATACAATAGGGTTTCACCAGCTTTGCTGCTGAACCCCTAATTATCACAATGCAATACTTCTTTAAGATCTTCTATGGAGAAAAACCCTTACATTCTAACGAGTCCTGTGCAGCTGTGACCATCGAGCAAAACAGACAACCCGTGCGTGTTTGTGAGAGTCTAAGCTTTCCATGATGGGGTCATAGTCTGTAGCTCAAACCGTTTGGACTTTGGAGATGTTTTCATGAGAACAACCTATTTCGGGATGTTGTCTCACAAACTGCGCTTTAGCACAGCTCCCATCTACCGCAGAGGCGTGTGGCTGCTATGGGCGGATCCAGGGCAACAGAAAGTCTATAGCTGGAACACGGACTCAGGAGGTGTTCAGAACCACCCACATTTCAGCTCTGTCATATTGGGGCGCTGTATTGAAGCCACCGCGCAGCCATCTTGGGACTCCTCTATTTTGGAAGCATTTACATTGATACATTTATTCTATTACAGACACCTTAATGCATACTTTTAAATTATATTATGTGAGCTGAACATAAAAAAATATGGCCGACCGGTAGCTTCAAAGTCACTCAACGGCCAATACATAGCATCAGCAATCCAGGGTTTATATAAATCATTGCTTACTACAAACTAAACCCACTGTAAAGTCCTTGGGCAACCTCTTGCATCTCCTGGGCAACATTCATCAGGGAAACGTTGTGAAACGTTGCAGATAGAAATGTGATGAATAGAGCTGACAAAATTGTTCATGCTACCTGTCAGAGGCATTTCTGTTCTACATAATATATTTACACTACCAGTCAAAAGTTTGGACACACCTACTCATTCAAGGGTTTTTCTTTATTTTTACTCTTTTTTGCATTGTAGAATAATAGTGGAGACATCAAAACTATGAAATAACACATATGGAATCATGTAGTAACCAAAATGGTGTTAAACAAATCAAAATATATTTCAATTAACAGGTGTGCCTTCTTAAAAGTTAATGTGTGGAATTTATTTCCTTCTTAATGCGTTTGAGCCAATCAGTTGTGTTGTGACAAGGTAGGGGGGTATACAGAAGATTGCCCTATTTGGTAAAAGTCCAAGTCCATATTATGGCAAGAACAGCTCAAATAAGCAAAGAGAAATGACAGTCCATCATTACTTTAAGACATGAAGGTCAGTCAATACGGAACATTTCAAGAACTTTGAAATGTCTTCAAGTGCAGTCGCAAAAACCATCAAGCGCTATGATGAAACTGGCTCTCATGAGGACCGCCACAGGATTGGAGGATCCAGAGTTACCTCTGCTGCAGAGGATAAGTTCATTAGAGTTACTAGCCTCAGAAATTGCAGCCCAAATAAATGCTTCACAGAGTTCAAGTAACAGACACATCTCAACATCAACTGTTCAGAGGGGACTGTGTGAATCAGGCCTTCATGGTCGAATTGCTGCAAATAAACCACTACTGAAGGACACCAATAAGAAGAAGAGACTTGCTTGGGCCAAGAAACACGAGCAATGGACATTAGACCGGTGGAAATGTGTCCTTTGGTCTGGAGTCCAAATTGGAGATTTTTGGTTCCAACAGTCATGTCTTTGTGGGTGAACGGATGATCTCTGCATGTGTAGTTCCCACCGTAAAGCATGGAGGAGGAGGTGTTATGGTGTGGGGGTGCTTTGCTGGTGACACTGATTTATTTAGAACTCAAGGCACACTTAACCAGCATAGCTACCACAGCATTCTGCAGCGATACGCCATCCCATCTGGTTTGGGCTTAGTGGGACTATCATTTGTTTTTCAACAGGACAATGACCCAACACACCTCCAGGCTGTGTAAGGGCTATTTTACCAAGAAGGAGAGTGATGGAGTGCTGCATCAGATGACCTGGCCTTCACAATCTCCCGACCTCAACCCAATTGAGATGGTTTGGGATGAGTCGGACGGCTGAACGAAAAGCAGCCAACAAGTGCTCAGCATATGTGGGAACTCCTTCAAGACTGTATTCCAGGTGAAGCTGGTTGAGAGAATGCCAAGAGTGTGCAAAGCTGTCATCAAGGCAAAGGGTGGCTATTTGAAGAATCTCAAATGTAAAATATATCTTGATTTGTTAAACACTTTTTTGGTTACTACATGATTCCATGTGTAATTTCATAGTGTTGATGTCTTCACTATTATTCTACAATGTAGAAAATAGTAAAAATAAAGAATAACCCTTGAAGGAGTAGGTGTGTCCAAACTTTTGACTGGTGCTGTATATCGTTTATTTCACTTTTATTTAACCAGGAAATTTCCTTGAGTTAAGAAATGTCTTTTACGAGGGCGATCTGGAAACCTATCTGATCTATATCTGAGGATTTCACAAACTCTGTGCACTGGCTGAATGAGGCCCAGCTGTTGAAAGCATCTTTATAGTGAGGGGGGAACAGTTATGTGGGACTCTCATCAGGCAGTACTAGGGATGGACACAGAGCTCTTTGTTATTCCCTGTTTTTGCAGACGTCAGCACGAGCACTCTTCACAGAGACCTCCCTCTGGCCAGAGCCTCAAAGTCACCCACCCAGCCATCAGTCTGACCAACAGACAGACAGTGTTATAGCACCACCACTATTGTACCACAACCATTAGCCATCCAGTATTGTATACTCTGAGTCAATACATGTTAGAATGACCTTTGGCAGCGAGTCTTTCTGGTTAAGTCTTTAAGAGCTTTCCACACCTGGATTGTGCAACATTTGCCCATTATTCTTTAAAAAAATTATTCAAGCTCTGTCAAATTGGTTGCTGATTATTGCTAGACAACCATTTTCAAGTCTTGCCATAGATTTTCAAGCAGATTTAAGTCAAAACTGTAACTCAGCCACTCAGTAACATTCACTGTCTTCTTGGTAAGCAACTCTGGTGTATATTTGGCCTTGTGTTTAAGGTTATTGTCCTGTGAAAGGGGAATTCATCTCCCAGTGTCTGGTAGAAAGCAGACTGAACCAGGTTTCAATATAATCAAAATCCAGGCTGTAACACCACAAAATGTGGAGAAAGTC